GAAGTAATTTTGACTGGTTTTGGGCAAATGTACAAATAATAATGCATAAATTATTTTTTTTCCCAAGTGAAGTAAAATTTTTTTCATCGTTAACATTTACTAATAACTTGTTATATGACTGTAAATAATATAAAAAATATTAAAAATTAATTTTAGACAAATTTCTTTACACTTTTATTCTTTCACAATGCAGTCATTTTGACTGCTTTGGGCAATATAGGTATATACTAAGTTTCAGTCTTTCTAGTGTTAAAAAGCTACCTGCAAAATTTTAAATCAATTCTTGGGTTTTTTTTTATGTAAAATCGTATTAATTTTCAGTAAAATCGTTCGTCTCCCATACATCACTTGAATGATTGTTTATCCAAATTCCAAGTGGATTTTATCGGTCTGTCGGACATATTGTAATTAATTATATCGTGAAATGATGGATACGCTGGCATCTGAATGGTAAACAGAGAATATGCGATCGAATACGATGGGTATACATCCTAATCCCATTGTTTCCTTAGCGGCGTAAGTAAAACGGGTATCGATTCGGCAACATAACAGGCAAATTGATCCGTTTCATTGTTCCATTCGTTAGCGTGGATGCTAATAGGATTGCGTACGCCGCCGTCATGCCGCGTTGCGTTGCGTTGCAACGAACGACACCGGACGCGTGTATTAATCGGGTTGCAAATAAGAATGACGTTCGACTTGATTTACGATCATTTATACATGATGCGATAATCTTGTTTGCATATAATGTATGATGCGTGTAAATATTTTCTGATATTCCGTTAAACGGCTCGAGCGATCGTTGTCCAATGATAATCTGTATGCTTTTAGGTCGGATATAGAATACGCGACGAATTCGTCGAAGGCTTATTTGAAGATTCCTGACGTTAAATTGGAGGACGAGGGCCTCTACAAGTGCGAGGCTACTTACTTGGCTGTGAACCGAGAGTGCAACAATGTTCAGCATATCACGCTTAACGTCACTGGTAAGTCTTTCATTCATTGATATTTTATTAACTAGAAATATTTATCAAAAGTGTAGAAATAATTAATCGTTATAAAACCTGAGTTTATAAGAAGGATTTGGTTATATAATGAAACGGATGATTTTAAGCAGAGCTTTAAATAAACCATGAATACCGTCAATAAATTCTGATTGAATTGATTTGTTCCATTTGAGGATATTTTTGTTTCTGTGCTGTGAAATGTTACCATTTGAAACTTCTCTAAGAGCT